CTTGCACACTGATTTATTTTTGCGAGAGACTCGCCTGGAACCAAGCTGAATCTCTCGTTTTACGATGCTTCAGTCGCCTGGAAACATCACACATGAGAGATTCAGCTGGGTTCCAGGTGTCTCGTAAAACCAAGTTAGTTTGCAAATGAGTGTATTTCGCTAAGTTCGTGCAATTTGGTTGCAAGTAGAACACAAAGTTGATGGAAACTCGGGGACTGCGCCTACCTGATGAGCCCCAAGAAGGGCTGTCGGCGAATTTTCAGCCACCTTGTGAGTAGTGCATTACAAATATACGTGTATCGCGATATCCCGAATATCGTAGCGACCGAAACATGAGGCTGCCTGGTGCAGCACATTCAGCTACCTGGAAACACGACACACGAGAGATTCAGCTTGATTCCAGATGAGTCTCTCAAAAAACCAGATTAGTTTGCAAATGAGTGCATTTCGCTAACCTGGGAGAACCTCAAAAATCGACAAAAGCTTAATGCCTTTGGTTGCCTCACTGCTTTTTATATTGAATTGTATTTGCTGGCTTATTGAGATTCAACACGAATCTCATGGTAGGAGAGAAATGAAGATGTATTTGGCAGAAAAATGACATATCTTACCGCGATGGCGGCAAGATAATCGGTTCAAATCACCATGTCAGCCCGGCTGAATCGACCAAATGATCGAGTGCCACCAAGTTGTTCAAAGTCGTCCATCGAAACCAACTCACCTTGGTCAAAGCGACAGCTACGTAAACCCTTCCTGTGTATCATTAGTATCATGTTAGTGCTTAAAAGTAGTCTTGGACAAATATCACCCATCAATATAGTCGAATCTATATTCCAACACCCTTTAGAATTCATTTTCGAATTCTCCTGTTTTACTTCCTATTCATTTTTATATCTGCACTTACCAGTTTGGACTCCACCAAAACCACGTCTTCACAAATTCACCTGTTTTCGCGCAGCGGGTACATTCAAACGATAGGTGGTTTTGATCTGGAGGTATTTTTATCATCAGAGCTGGCGGTATGGATTGAATACCTGTTAATATAATTAAATACAAAAGAAATAAACTGTTTCACATCGTAAGAATGCTTGCATGCATAGCGAAAGCTTGGTCAACACCTTGTCAGTCAAGCTTTCTTATCCGATGCCCACTTAAAAAGTTCAGTGCAAAAAAAATTCACAAGTAAGCAGGATGTTGAGCCTAAATCTGGCCAGCAACGTGTCTTGTGCGGAGGAATTTTGCATCTGTGTTTAAAATTGACAGATGTTTGCGGCAATGCACCCATAAAACAGAGTGATCCCCCCCCCCACAAAAAAACATATTTTAGAAACTGTGGGGGGCCAACACTACCGACATTTCCTGTCATAAGTGGTCTATTCTCATAGAAACGCACGTGCTGATCAACAAGAGCAACTCAGGATGTTTGAGACAATTCACTCTACCATTTTTCTTAAAAAAATTGCCCCTGCGCAAGCGTACTATTTTAAACTGAGTCGGTTCGCCTCCGGACATAACACAATGCCGTCAATGTACGGTTGGTTTTCACTTCATTTCGATCCTGAAAAATTTTCCATTGAAGTTTGCAACCATAGGTTTTCGCGTAGTTTTTGCCAACAAGGAAAAAATGCAACAACGCATGAATTCATTTGGTTTATTGATGAGGTAGGCGGCTGTGTATTGCACAGTCTAGATATCCGGCGAACAATTGTGCCCAATACGCCTGACGAGCCCTAGTGAAAGCAGGGTGTGTTGCACTACTACCACTAACGGATACACCTCACTTTTGACGCGCATATTTGATCTTGTGATCACGGGTGGGGTGGAAACCCCGACCGACCAAAGGTCACAGCATCCCTCTTACACAACTTTCTTAGCACTAGCTCACCCACACAGACTGAGAGAAGGTTCAAAAGAAGTTCAAATGAACCGAACCAGAAGAACTAGACCCTAGGCTGGACCCAAACCCATGTAGGTTGTCCCACCGACCTAACACTTGTTCGACCACTCTAACACACTAAAATCCCTCGGCCGACACCCAACAAAGATTTAGCTTGACTTAGCTGATTGGTTCTCCTTCCGCCTTAAGTCTCGACCAACCTCGGAACCTAGTCACTTGGCCTGACGAAGCTTTTGTGTCAAAAGCGAAACGTTGACCATCAATAAATCTACCGATTATCACCATATTTTTTTTAAAATCGATCATGTGATAATGCTGAAAAATAACCTAATCTGCGTGGATCTCGGGCTGAATAACATTTTACGCTGCTACATTCTGTCTACTGAGTATGTCGGATGATCAGACAGGTTAGCGATCAATTCATACCTGCACACAACCTCTCCGTCAAAACCGTAATACCTTCTTTGATGTGTGGCAAATTTATTTGGATTTAACTTCGTTCACCGCTTTTCACTTTAACGTAGTTAGTCTCACATGTCCCCAAGACATCTTGTGGTACAACTTGTGCACCTTGTGCTATGGCCCGTCTAAACGTGAGTTACTCACGCTGCTGATCGACTACCCATGATCAAAACCTCATGTGTTCAAACTACCAACCAGGAGGGTGATCGAGGGCTCGAAACTCGCTCCTGGACTTTCGTGAGATGCGCACTACAGCTGGTTTTCAATAAGGATCATACAACTGTACGATGCTTCTCGGCTCGTCAGAACAGGACAAAATATACATCGAAAACTCTGTACTGCATTTTTTCATCTTAAAATGCTACTGCGTATCTTTTTTTCACGAACTATCACTGTTATACTTTGCTGCATTGTTAAGCTTTCCTTCTTTCAGTGTTCTATTACGGAATATATCATTCGGTTTTACTTTTCCAAGACAATCATACATCTCACACACAATTTGTTGACAACTGCATGCTTGTTGAAGTACGGACTATCAAAATACGCATCCTTTGAAAACTCTGCCCGGCAAATTCTACCGTTATTCAGCACCGCACATAATACTCAAAGGCTTTCTCCAATTCCGACAAGCCTTTTATCCGCCGCAAATTTGGGTCGACAGCAATAACGACGTACGTAATTAGTCGCTTGTGTGCCGACAACTTCTAAATCGGCTAGTTCAAAAGCTGTATTATCGTAACTGCAAGGTTGCTCGCAAATATGAGACGTCGAGCAAACAAATCCCATCAATCAGGTGTGAGCAACATCGTCTTTTCAGACGCGACGACTCAGGTGCGCCCAGAATCCATTGATGGATAATTGGTAACATGCTCATTTCGCATATCAGATGTCTGGAGTTGAAATCCCGGCATGGCCAAGGAAATGCATTACTGATGAACTCTAACAAGGGCAAAACTTTGGTCCAGTACTCCTGCCCTTTGGCATGGCAGAATAATGGCGACGGGACATGAGAAGGCATATTCCTAAGAGAATGTTGTGAACGCGAATTAGTTGGTTTTGCCGACATCTCTTGTTCGAGGAAACTAGTGTCATCTTGAGTATCCGATTACTTACTTACTACTGGGTCGTACAAATACGGTCGCGTACGTTGCACTGTCAACACAATGTGTCTCGGCCGTTGTGATTTACAAATGTATAAAATATATTCACTTTCGAGTTGTGTGACTCGAACCAGGTGTAAAACTGGTGGTTTTGATTTTAACAAGTGTTCTTTTAAAGGCAAGTAGAAGCTGCGAAACTGCTGACTGAGTCGGACAACTTGGTCCGAGTCATCGTCCGTGAACCATTCAACGGAAACGTCGGTACACAAAGTAGTACGGTGTTATAGTGCGTCAGCGCCGCACTGATAACGTTGTTCTGGATGGTGGTGAAACTGATATATTTAAAATCACGTCAAGTGAGACAGAGCGAATTGTGATAAGTCTCATCGGCTGGTTCAGAAATGGTCATCCAAATCGGCCAAACTACTGCGGGCTAGAAATCACTGGCAAGGAGGTCAAACCGTTCTCAAACTAAAGAAAGGGGGAGGCAGGTGGAACAGAGATCAATGAGTTTTCGAGTTCAGTGAGACCAACGGTAAACGTCGGTCGCTAACGGAAGTCCGTGTGAATAAATACGGGTTGCGGTAGTGACCAGATCACTGTGACATATTCTCTCTCACACAGCAGACAACTCATGAGGGATAACTGCGCCGACAGCAAACACCGAACGCCGCGACAACTATCACATCCTGTGACACTACCCCATCCAGCCAAACATGCTGTCTGGAAAGGAAAACCAACAACACTACCTTACCCAGTGTCGGGTAAGTTTGTGGAACCGGATTTTTCACAGGCCCACTCTGATTCAGTGGTACGCCGCGACATCACATCCTGTGACACTACCCCATCCAGCCAAACATGCTGTCTGGAAAGGAAAACCAACAACACTACCTTACCCAGTGTCGGGTAAGTTTGTGGAACCGGATTTTTCACAGGCCCACTCTGATTCAGTGGTCGCGCAGGTTTCAACGCAATTTCGGTCGGATTCCAGTCGCCTCAGCAACCAACGATAATCGGGATGGTTCCAGCCCTTGTCGGTTTAGAGGTACCCTGTAAGTAATAACGAAGGTGTGTCTTTGTCAAGGACATGACTGCTTTCGGCCAACTGCATTTGAGTGAGATTTCTTCCGAAAACCGGTCAAGGATATAGGACTGTTTTCGTATTCTGTCTGACAAACGCCTCCTCTTAAGACAAACCATAAGGCTTAGCATGAGCGCGCGAATGAGCACACGAAATCCGGCACTTGACAGTTTCTGTCTCAAACGGAACCTGGAAGTGAGTCTGGAGACGACGCACCCAAATTTGGGTACTATGCAGTAGACAAGGAAAACCCATTCAGCTGGAAATCCTTATGGGTAGATTGAGTGAGAGTGTATTGACATGTTCTTTCCTCTTGCTTGTAATCAGATGACTGTCCCAGTGTTTTGCAAGCACTCAATTTTGGCACTAACGTCAGAAGTACAGTGCGCTTCACCCTTGACGCAGTCATGACCTTTGCAGTATGTCAAATGACCTTGTACTAACTCGGACGGCAATAATTTCACTCGGTCGCAGAGTATTGGCTAGTTGGTGGGTGGACCAATTTGGAGCCAAAGGCCAGGTCGGTTTCCGCAGGCGAGAGAGCTCCGCACTGATGTGATGTGGACAATGCACTTGGGTGTCCTAATGGATGTCCGGTAAGCGGGCCGGCTGGGCGTTCACCAAGCACCAAGCACGCACGCATACGCACATATCCGGCCGCCAGACCAGCTGGCGGACAGGTTCGCTTCTGCCACCGATACATGCATTGTGTGTGAGAAAAGTCTGTCCGGAATGCCCAGATATCCACATGGCTCAGAGCGAAACTTGAGGCCTGTCTGGTGACCATTTATTGCCTAAATTGCATATTCTTGCGCAAACGAGATGGCTCCATTTTACCTGTTGTGGGCAATCTGACCATGTGCCTCCTAAACACTCGACTGAAAAGAGATACCAAACAGAGATACTGTGATGGATGAAATCATACATCCTTCGGCGCGTCGTATCCAAATCCCCCATAGCTTAAAAGGTCTTTTAGGATTGGGACAGCTCATGGTCACCCAAGTGGACCAAGCGCAAAACCTGTTATTAGAACCAGTCTCCATGGTAACATCCGAGGCAATATCAAATAACGGGCCCTCGGTACAAAAACTTCATTCCATAGCTAGTGGAGGGTAACCCATTCAAAAATATTCGAATGGATAAAATCCACACAACATATCTCGTACCCTGGTTGTTATTCTTCCGAGCGTTCCGCTTAAATTCAGCTAAACAGTAGTCTGTGTTGTTTGAAGTACTTTTCGAAGGCGTTGCCCCTTTCTAGCTAGATCATACTCGTAATTCAGGAAATGGCTGAGTGTTTCGTTAGACTCCGTTTCCAAGACGTCCGGAATTTCTAGTGGGGCCGTACCGTACCCAGAGGAAAGTGAATAGCCAATTTTATGAGACGACGTTGAATGAAACTGTCGTTTCCTATCATGAACAGCCATCTAGGCTCCAGTGATCTTTTGGCAATGTGATGCATGTCCCAATGTTCCCGGCGAGTGAAGCTGTCCCTTTTCGACCTTCTCCAGTAAGCTGGAGGCATCCAGAACGACGACCAACTGTATCGGAACGAATCACGTAGATCATCCGTAAGAGAATGGCAAATGCTACCAGCCAGATTTAGTAAGGCTCTGTGACCAGTAGATCCATATCACCTGTAGAGCACCTACAATGCCTCTATCTATTCTTGCTATGACTGTCCTGCAAGAACACGCTTTTCTTCCAGCATTAACGGAATAGAATGTGGATATCTCATCAAAAAATATTCTCTCTGTAATGCAGTAATGGGCAGTTGGGATCGTGGGATACGGAATTCATCTGAGTTAACTTTCTGTCCAAGTTTAAGTTAAAGTTATTTTTAAAAAAATTGACGGTGCGATGTTTTCCATTAGTAAGCTTTTTCGTAAAGTAGGCATCTGAACTTGAAGCAACCGTTATGCTATTTGATGCTAACCTGCATTTGAGGACTCACACAGCTTTATACACTATGACATCGGTAATTCCGCACTAAAACAGTAGCATATCAACTTTTCGTTCACTCTTTGAGACAAATGGGTTGAGATTACTGCGGCAATAGTAGCAAGGTACGGTTTCCCCAAAACTGAATGGGACAGGTTGGCTTCAAGATTTCAGATGATTTTTGATCGGAAACAAGGCAGCCGCAAAGTTGTTGCTGTGCATCTATGATATTTCTACGATGCTGTCAAGGACATCAGTATTCAACCGAAGTAAAAGTATAATGATATCCCAGTCACTCTGGGGTTAATAATAACTTCCATGATATTTCTTGCTGACTGCCTCTGACCAGGTAGGAAAGTGTGCTACCGACTCTTTTAATATGGCATTGCAAAAAGTCCAGTTCAGTGGTTAGTAAGTGAAAGGAAAGACAATTGGTATATAACCGGTTATTTCAAAAAAATAATTGTTGAGGTTTCCGAAGCACCCATTTTACCTCCATTTTATCAGTAATTTTCTGTTGTATTCCACATACTTTAGAATACCCCACAACGATCGGATTCGGGGAACTATTCTTCGAAATACCTTGTTTTTCCCGAGAATTAGAACGTTTTAACATTTCTATTCAGACGATTTGTGATTGCTCAAGAAAGTCCACTTGATCCATGCACGAAAACACCCGCGTCAGTGATGCGTGTAATTGCATCTCGTGCGTATCCAGTCCTCCGTTTGGGCTTTAAGCCCTGATGAATTCCTGAAACAAGTTCAGCACCCTCTTTGGAAACTTTGCACCAACAGTTGGATTTTTCATGCTCATCTTGTCTCAGCAATAACATTTTTGCGAGCCTTAACACCCTTTTGCGTGTCTGAACACCCTTTCGGATTCGCTGAGGTTCATGAGCACCCAGGCTCTCGCACGAAACACACGGAAAACAAGCCAGGTTCAAATGAGTCAGTGGGCTGGTTTGCTCTGGTTTGCTTCTCGCGCTCGGTCTACCGCTATGAAAGTCCAGCTGTAATCGGGTTGGTGGTGGTGGTCGATTGCCGACTCGATTTTCCAGATCTGAGTCCCGGTTGCAGCTGATCGAATCGAGTAAGCGTGTCCGCACGTGTGACAGTCACAACGTACCTATAGATACGTGCAACCATGCTTAGCTGGAGTTGATCGGGTCAGTTCACGCTAGGAGTAAACGTAAGCTGAAGCAAACCGATTCACTTTACAGTCGTTGTTTGTGGCGAACGAATTAGGAGTGCTCCAATTAAATCCGTAGGAGAAGATAAGACCGGTGAGATCGAAACCAAAGAAGCCATTAAATTAATCTATGCGGACAAACTCTTCTAAGGTGAGGTGCTTGATTTTCCAATTCGAAAATTATCATGCAATCCCAATAAGTTTGTGGTTATTGAAATGGACACAAGGTTAAGAGAGAATACCGTTTCCGTCACATATTTGAGGTTTCCATTTCACTACACCGAGCGTTCACTACCCTTCGCGGAATGATTGTAAAATGCAAGCAGATATCGCTCGTGAGGATCAGATTAAACGTGTACGGTGAATTTCTTCCGCCCACATAGTAAGTGGCTCTCAAGAGGTAGGACTGACCAAGTGTAAGCACTTTTATACCGTGCCACTGAATCTTTGCAGAGGCGACCCTGTAGCCGGGACCCTGAAACGGATCATGAGACGATAGGCTGTTGAAATACATCGTGGAAGGACCAGCAAGTACATAAACTCGCTTGTCTAACGTGTGGCCCAAACCGAGATGGTGACAACCATTGATTGTTTGAAGCAGTTGGTCTTGTTGAACAATTAATCGGAACAGCCAGATCGTTAACAAGATTTTATAACTGTTAGTTGATTGTGTATGTAGCGGATGCAGAACGTTCACCATTCATAAGTAGCGGACGTAGCAATGAAGAATAAAAGGACATCAAAATGCATGTTGCACTGACGGGGCTTGGACTGGGTTCCTCTCTATGGAAGTTGGAGAGCTTGAATCACCAAAATTTATGCACACAATTTGTTTTTTTTCCGCGGTCTTCTCAAAATCACATCCGTTTGGTGTATAGATTGCTCAACAGTATGGTGAAATCAGGAACAACTGGTTGGTCTGTCTCAGGGAAATGCTTTGTACTCGATGCCCATTCGATGGCTCTTATTTGCTGGTTGTACTATAAGATCTGTAGCAGTATATTCAATACTTTGAGAAATGGATGTGTTCTCCCGATATACGTAATACCGCAAATGCAAGGAAAGTCATAAATGACATTTTGTTTATAGTCACACCACTCGTTTGAACGATCGTCCTATGTTCTGGCGTAATTATTCCGGCGAGTTCACACTAAAGCACTGGACTCGAGTTTCGCTCTTATTAGGGCTCATCAACAGCGCATATTCTTGGCCGCGCTGGTGTTTGGTCTCCGGACAGCTGACATGCGAGGCGAGCTTGTCACCATTACTTCACCAACGCACGCTGGACGCATCTGAATTTTCACCTCTGAACGGGCGAACGTGTTCACACTTGAGCGATGTGACTGGTGTGCCGACCCATCGAACGACGACCCAGTAACTGATCTGGTTGTAACGATCAATTGACCCGCAATTCAGGACTTCCCAGTCAGGTAGTGTGACACGCTTGAAACCCACTGGGCAACTTTTTGGTTGCAGTTTTGGGGTTTTGCGGGATACGTATTTTGTTCATAGTCACACCACTCTCGTTTGAACGATATGTAAGGCAGAAGGATCACTCAAAATATTGGATCTATTTTGAAAAATAATCCTCCAGGGTATCAACAGCAGCTGTTATTGGGCTATTCTATAAATTCGGTTTGTGTCTGAAGGTGCTGAAGATATTTGCACCACTGAAATGTGGCCAGTCCTCTTTTTATTTATCTATAGTGTTCAAACCTGGGGGAGTTCCGCCTGTTCTGCCTCGTCTCTGTTAGCTAACAGGGTTATCTGGGAACTGGTCCGTTGTGTAGATAACTCCAGTCACGTAACACAGAGTTTTGATTAATCTAGGATTGTAGGCAGTCGTAGAATACCCACAGAAATGAAGTCTTTGATGACTATTTGTGATTTGTAATCATGAAGTAGAGATAGGGTAAAACGTCTCAAACCTTCCACTGTGTAATGTTTCACGGTATCACGGTGCAGGCAGTTTCGCTGTAACATGGTTTGGGGACAGTATAATGACATCTTGGGCCACAGAATATGACATTTCATTCTCTGTTAATTAGAAGGCTTGTGAAGAGTTTTGTCTAACCGTTCAGACGGTAAGTTCATCGGGTTCATTAGAACCGTACGACCATAGCTCTATTTTAGGGAAAGTTCTCAACGCTCCACAATGCACAGAGTCAACTGCTTTCGCTCGTCTCTTGTTACTCACCCACTCGTTGTGCGAAGTTCGGTACAATTCACCCAATGGATGATTGTTTCTCAGTGAGCTATTGCGCAAGGAGCGGCTGCACAGTGGGGGGGGAATAAATCACCACATCGGAGCTCTCATGTTTAACTTGCTGATATAGTGTGCTGACGAACGATTTATTGCAGCTGGTGATTCCGCGACTTAGTGGTGATGTCCTGTGGGGACTCACTGCCGAATACGTACCCAGATGTCATTCGCGGAAATTCGACCCAGTTTAGGCCACGTTTGTGAGAGCATATTTGCGTTACCAAGCTCTGCATGGAAAAGCTTAATATGTTAACTAGAGAAGGAATTTCCAGCTCGTGCAACTGATTCATTGGGGCTGATCGATGTGTGA